AAACCCTAAACCCCCAAACCTTCTCAACAACCCAGACGAGTGTACATGCCGGACAATGCAGCCAGCTTGCGCTCAGCAGCACTTCTCCTCGTGTCTTGGCAATTTTAGGGTTTAGGGTTTATGGGTTTATGGGTTTAGGGTTTAGGGGTTTAGGGGCTTAGGGGGTTAGGGGGAACCCAACATAGACCCCTAATACCATAAACCCCAAACCCCACAATCCTTATGATATGGCAAGCCCTTAGCCTATACAGTCTTATAGAATCCCGATTTCCATAGTATTTTCCGTTTGACTCAGTATCCCTAAATGTATCCTTTTTTTTTTATATCCTTGCAGAAACCCACACAATCCCTACATTACCCCTATATTTGGGGTCCCGCATTTGAAATCTTTGGCATCCTATACAGCGCTCATGGCATATCTTCCCATCGCCCCAGGGTTTAGGGATAAGGGTTTAGGAATTAGGGTTTAGGGTTTAGGGTTTAGGGTTTGGGATTATATGGGGCTTGTATCGGTATGTTTTAGGGACACATATCAGACGGTTGTTCTACAGGGCTGTGTCTTCTGGTTTAAAGGACTCGAGAAAGTTGCGTGACATGAGACGGTAAAGGATGAACATTTCTGCAAAAGATATGTGACAGCAGTTTTTTACGATCAGCGACAGCAGTGTCCCCTTGTATACCCCTAAACATACTATAGGCCCCGGTATAAGAACCAGCCAAAAAGGGTCAATTTCCGGAAAGTCCCTTATGAAGGCCTAAATCTACAATTGGGTCCTTCAAATGTTGGCATCTAAGTTGATACCCCAAGTTGACTCACATGTGAAAATAGACTCCGCGATTTTTTTTGCGAAACATGGCCAAATCCCGCAAAAGGAATTTTGAACAACCACGAGTAGAGAATCACATCAACAATCTTGAAAGCCCGCGCTTCTTAGGTGAGGTGACTCTTGCGTTCACCCGGAATTGATAGCTTTTTTTTTGATATTGCTAACCCATGCCACGCTATGACTGCTCAGGTGAGCTTGGCTTTTGCAACACGCTTCTACGATTTCCTTACGGAGGTCGATGCCTTGAAAGCAGAATTGGCTGTCTTCTCTGCACGGAAAGCGCAGTGCTTCTGCTGTAGCAATCGACATTTGAATCTGGGCCGTGTTGTTTCCCAAAAATGGGGTAGTATTTCGGGGATCCCCATAATTACTAAGGACTATAGCATTTTGGGGTCTATATTGGGGTCCCTCTATTTTGGGCGTTGGTTTCTGCCTTTTGTGAAGAGCTAGTTTTGCTTGGGTTTGTTAGGTTTCCTGGTGGCTGGTCTTGGCTAAGATGGCGGCGTCTCTTCAAGTCCTGTTTCTATTTGATACCACGATGTAAGAGGATATTTCATTCTTGCCAAAGTGTATTAGGCCATATGGTGACTACGTTCAGGTATCCGGGTAGCATCTCTGGGTAGCACGTCAACGGGCCAGCAGCCCATGTATTCTGATCTCTGTGATGGAGGGCTTTGCCTGTGCCCTCAGAGCAAGTGGAATCACGCAAGGGAAACCTACATAACTAACTTTTCAAATGAAAGCCACAACATCCTGAACACAAGTGAGGAATCCAACTACAGGGGAGCCTTTGTCTTGTGACCGTGCGGTAGTCAACGCATCCATTGCGCATTGGCAGCTTGGCAAGGCGAGGAGGTTTTAACCACTTTTATCATCACAATTCAGGTTATCTCCCCCCAAACAGCTATATGTCATCACCAGTACCCCTTTTGCTCGCCATTGGAGGGTGGGAGGGATAAGCTGACTGACAACTGGACTGATCAGCATGTCGTTGATATCACTGTCCTTACACGGGAGCTCACAACAATATTTTCTTTCCTTTCCCTTGCGCCCTAAATGTTTCTTACCATCTAGTATATGCTAGTCTGAGTACAGTTGTTATGTTGCAATGGATGTTTTGTCATGGAGACCACTAGAGCCAAATACTATCATTGCTGCCCCTTCCAGCTCCGACTGCTCTTTGACTTCATGATAAGCTGCTCCTCGCTGCTTCCCATGGGCCCAAAGCCAACCAGGTACGGGTACGATAGCGCTCATTGACTCTGCAGGTGAAACATGCACGGATCATGCACAGAGATTCGATCATGATCTTCCTTGTAGACTTCGGGGATTAGACGGCGTTGTTGGCCTAGGCAAAACTTCAAAAATCTACGGGGGTTCTTGTTCAATAAGGATCCCGACGCCTGGGGTCATAACAGAAATGTTGAGCCTGCGTGCAAATTCAGCGTGATGGGCTGACACTCACAATTGAATGAACGCTCGGCAACACAAATTTTGGACTTCAGCGACGAGCTAGCATTCAGGTACGGTGACGACGATGTGGGAGACGGTTTACACACCTTCGACGCTGCCTGGCTGTTCATTAAAGCGCAGTAGATTGATTTGTTGTATTTCTAGCTTCTAGGGACAACGGTAATGAAGATCAGAGTTGTCGAAGGAGCTGATTCGCGGGCGCTTCCGGGAAGAAGTGGGGGAAGCTATACGAGGGGCGAGAATGCCATTTCACTTCGTGTTGGTTGCCTCCGTGTGGCCTGCCATGCATCAGCTTGACTACATTGCTGAGGCGGGTGGATGTGGACAGCTGCTTCTTGAGCCTTCAATTTTCTCGATGTTTTACCAACCCTTACCAGCCTGCTACGACCTAAACTTATGCCTAATACCGGCCCCCCGCCCCCCCGTTTGCAGAAGCGAGATGAGTATGCAATGGCAAGAATCTTCCAATGTGTCGCGCCCGCAAGACGTTTCTGCAGCGCAGGGCAAATTCGAACGCCCTTGTTTTTGGCATTAGATTCTGCTGAAGACTTGTAGCAAAAGTTTTTGTTCCTGCGTGCCGAGGCTTGCATATCATGTTCATTGTATTTCCCTTGATGTTTGCACCTCGGCTTCAGCGAGTCTCCCTGGCAAATTTGACGTACAGGGGTGTGGAAAGCAATTGATGAAGCAACGTTGTCTCAGGGAGTCTTGATGGCCATTATGCGAGCAATGACGCATTTACCGAGATTCAAGAAATGCGCCTTGGTGGCCCGCGAGTGCCTGCCATCTCATGCCGCAGAAGGGCAAGCAAAGTTCCAGAGTATGAGGATGCATTGTTTGCTGCTTCAATCTTGCGAAGGCGCTATGACTGCTGCTTTCGCACTTGCGAATTGCAGCCTTCATTGGGTGTCTCAGCCATATGTGCGTTTGAATGGCCTGAAGCCGTACTGAAAAGGAGTCTCAATTGACCATCATGCGCGCTGAGGTCTTTGTCCAGCTCGGCCGCATACTTCGCAAAGGCGGCTGGATTTGCTGCTGAGCCAAATTGTTTACTGGCTGGGGTATTGTGCACAGTTGAGATTTATTCTGCTTGACTCCAGCACGGTTCTTGAGCTTGTCATTTCAGACTTGTGCTTGCTATTCACTCACGGACTTGCAACATCTCAGGTGTGCCATTGGTTCTCGCCGAGTCATTTGCAGTTTTCATGTTTTTCCAAGACAGCAGCATGAAAAGTCGTACAGACAAGTTTGCAAAGCGTGTGAAAGAAATCACTGGACATGTTGCCCCAGGAATCGAGTTAACGGATTTCAGCTCAGGGCAACACCGATCCAGTCGGTGGCCTTGAGTTGCTGACGTGACTGGAACAGTCACTACGTCAGCGTACATTAGCCCCACGAGGTACTGGTGCTGTGTCGCCGTTGTGAAGCCACCGCCTCATCTGCAGCTGTTCTGTGCAGCCTGTCTGTTGAGCATAAGCAAAGGTTACGGACATTGCTTGCTGAATGGAGGGATAGACTTGCTGCCACGGCCATGTCCGCACAGACAATTGCTAGGGCCTTGTCTTCTGAGCTGTTTGTGTCAGAGGGCACCAGCCACCAGCAAAGACCCCTCGATTTTGAATCAGAAAAAGATGCGCCATGGTGCTGAACCACGGAATGGACAAGCGCTGAACACCAGGGGTTGTCTACAGTAGCGCTTGTCTGAACTTGTATTGTTTTTCGGGCAGAACCTTGGGATAGACTTGGACTTGCTGCAGGACCCTCAGACTCGCCCGGATGACTTCATGCGTGAAGGGAGGGCGTACAGAATTTTGAGCTCAAGTGCCGAAACAGGCACAGAGCTTGATGAATCAGATCCCACTTACACTTGCATAAGTGCTCAAGGAGCTGGTGGGCACCCGCTGCAGAAATGCTGGCAGAGGGTAGCTTGAAGGTTTGAAAAGTCGGGCCTTGAGGCAGCAAACTTGCTACTGGTTCTTAGTAGGGAACATGGGAATATATCATAGAGGATTATATTCCCATACTCCGCACCGGCAACCCGTAGGGCAATCAGAAGGCAGACCACGCTTGGCGCCAAGGAACTCTCAAGCGAGTATGTGCATTTTGTTTCGGGTCCTCAACTCATATGCGGGCCTCTCTGCCAACAGCAGGCATACAAGCATCTTGAATTCCTTGCACACATTCAAATATTGCGAGCTGCCGAGCGCTGCAAAGCCAGACATTGTATTGGCCAGTCTGGGGCAGGATTTAAGCTCACGAGCTGGTCAAGGGATTCGCTGCAATGTGTGGAAGAAAGCGCAGCCTTCTCGTTCGCTTATTTCCCCATGGGTTCAGGACCTCACCATACAATTATGTACAGGAGAGACAACCGTTTGGATACTGGCAGTTCTTGGGGTTTGCAGATGGGAAGCCCTAAGCCGAAAAAACCCGAAGCCTAGAACTTTAAGCCCTGAGCCCTAAACTGCCTAAGCCCTGAGCCCTAAACCCTAACTAAACCCTAAACCCCCAACCCCAAGCCCTAAGCCCTGGGCCTTGAGTGATACACCTTCCAGTCTTCCATGGCAGACCCTGCCCAGCCTGGACCTTCTCCGGGGCACTCTGAGCTCGGTGAGCTGGCGCCTTACCACCTTCTCATGCTTAGTTGGGAATGAAGGAATGAATCCTTGTTGTTGTCATTACTTGTGCTATATGAATATGATTCATACTTATTCACATAATCATCTTACTAGTAGCGCAGGGAGTATGCGGAGGAGGAGGAGGAGGGGTAGTGGTAGTGGTCGTGTGGTTGTGGTGGTAGGGGAAGCGATAGCGATGGTGATAGTGATAGTGATAGTGTACGTGGAGGTGTATGGTTTGTGGTACGTTGTAGTCGTATGTAGTAGTGGTAGTGGTTGTTGTTGTGGTCGTGGTAGTAGTGGTTGTAGTAGTCCTGTATACAATTCCCAGAATAATCCCTCAAGTAGTCGCTTAAATCCGTTCTCCCATTCCCTACTAAGCAATTATTGTCATGATGCGTATTTCTGTGTGTTGTTGCACCGATGGTATTTACAGTTTTTTGCTCCCCTGTTTCCGAGCAGATATTCTGGCAGTATCATGGTTCAGGTCTGCTGCTGTCTTTTTCATCAGTTTGGTTATAAGCCATCAGGCAAAGGAAGCGTAACGATGATGCTGAGACTGAGGCTGCGGAAGCAAGCTCTATATCTTTGGTGGCAACAAAGTCAGTGCTGTAGCCACAGCCTCAGCTGACTCGGTCTATGGGAAGTGGTCGGAGCGTTGCCGGGATGATATAGGACTGAGGGTCAGGATTCATGTCATCGTTCTCTACAGGTATCAGGAAGTGGCTCCAGCCGAACAAGTGCAGAGAAAAGGAGCTATGCCCTAAACCCTAAACCCTATATAACCCCTATACAACCTATATAACCCTTACATAACCCCTATATTCCCTTCAAAGATATCTACCAATCCTTCGCGGGGCTCAGAAGGCCATAGCCCTCGTCCTCTCGTCTCGAAGTTGCGGAACATCTTGTCGACGGCACGCTTCTGCACGCAGTCCTTAGCAGTTCAAGCTTTCGCTCAAGACTTTTTTGGGGGTTCCCTGGGGAGATCCGGGGAGATTCAGGAGATCATTCTGCTATGCCATGACATATTGTTAGCCGTCAAGTTCTCAAGATGTAGTTTGGCGGTTTCTCCATCCGGGGCAAGATGTCAATTATGGGCTTTAGAGCCTGATGGCGGCGAAGCTGAGGTGGCCGAGTGTTTCAGCCCTCAAGAAGGTTCATGGATGCCACGTGTCTGCACTTCTCTGTATGGCATTCGGTCTTTTCAGCCAGATGGGGCTTGGATAGCAAGGATGAAGGGTGGTAGCATGAGTGAGCTCCGGTGCGTTTTGCTTCCTCAGGTCGATGGGAAGACTGACTACCTCTCGCCGTTGTTTTGCCGCAGTGGCCTGCCGCTTGTAAAGTCGATGGACAGATTTGGCTGAGACCAGTGGAGACTGTGCTTCCAGCTGCGCCAAAGATGAGCGGCAGGAAGGAGGCCTCACTGGCCATGCCCGCTCATATTGGTTCTCTGCTGTGTAGCTTTTGGTGCTATACTCCTCAGGTACTAATACCAAAAGAAGTTATACTATAATTGTTGCACGCCAGTCCAAACATTTAGACTCTCCACATTGTGCTGAAGCAGATGAAGCGAGCAAGGCCCAAGAAGCTCAACGAGCCATCATATGGGGGCTTCCAAAAATCAAGGCGCCCTTGTATCCTGTCACAAGGGGTTGTGATCATTTGGGTTGTAGAAGGGAGACGCCTGATTATTGGACGCGCTCATATCATCCCCCATGGCACACTCCTAGACCCCCACTCCTATTTAAAATGCGTCACAGCATATTTAGAGGGAATCTCTTCCACTCTACTAGCAGGAGGGGGGTAATTCGTTATGCGAGCATGCCTCTGTTCGTGTTGATTGTTCTGAGCGGCTTCTATCACGCTGACTGTTTGGGCCCTGTCTGCACGTTCAAGGCTCATGTATCATAGCCCCTGTACATGAGAGGGGGGTCTCAAGTTTATTCGACAAAATTGTATCTCATTGCGTATAGACCGTATAGAGACACATAACGAATTGACGACGAAATGAACGAAGCCAAATAATCAAGCTAAGATAATGTACAGTTCAACGTGTGCACATAATTCATGTACGCATACGATAAGTTGCAGCATCTCTACTAGGCCAGAACGATTTTGTATAAGCGAATTGCATCGGGCGATCTGCCCTGAATGCCATGATCATAGTTCATGCGTCCGTCACTTGAGTTGTACTTGCCACATTCATGATATTAGCTTTGTAGTGAGCATGGCAGGCACATGCTTGGCTCAATCAGATGTTATTCTTGACGTTCTACCAGTTATGTTTACTTATCAAGCTGTATAATGGACACTACTTGAGAATCAGGTTCGGGTTTGGAATATGTAGTTATCACCAGGAATCTAGCGAACTAGTAGGCCTGAATCTAATTGATATGATCACTGCTTGGGTTATGTTAATAGAAGGGTTTAGGGTATAGGGTGCAGGCCCAACAGAAACATGACCGATAGGTTTTCGTCCTGCTTCATGATTAGGACAACACATAGCGCCCGCAACGGAAACTTAAACATCTAAGCTCTAAATGGTAGGTCCCATGTAATTTCCATGTTCTTTTCCATCTGATTCTCCGCTATGGCCCCTATAAACACCGATCAAATCCCAATGTATACCCCATTGAATATGGCAGTTACAATTTTCTGTGGCACTATCCCTATTTCGTCAATCCATATAACCAATAATATGATGGTCCTTACATACCTTTGCTTAATTTCTCATAGACCCCTTTTGATATGAGCAGATGTTTTGCTCCGGTCATCCTTGCAGTCTTAAGAACAGTGGTCCTCATAATAGACGTTTCAGTTCACACTGGAAATCGCTACTCAAGCCAACTTTCACAGAATTAGTCGTAAACAAAAAACGAAAACGTGATTTGTGATAATGTTCCGGTCATGGTCACATGATATCAACATTTCTGTAAGCACCACCTTTTATATGTAGCGCTTTGTGTTGCTTAGTAGTATGCTTCGTAGCTGTATTTGTAGCCGCGCCCCTTTATCCAGACGCCCGCTTAGGCACATTGTACTCCTTTCCCCTACTGATTATCCAGTGAACTTACGTGTTCCCACTTTTGCTACCCAAAATGTACAACTTCCAAAGCAGCGGCATGGATTGTACTTGTATTCGTTCCATTCTTGCCATCTAGGTCAAGGAGTAGTAGCACATATGTATGCACATGTATATCTATATCTCTATATATATATATATTTGTATATACGTGTATATACATGTATATGCCTATGTGAGTATGTATGTAAGGTTTTATGAACAATTAGATTCAACAAACGATCCCAGTCAGCCGTGGTGAATTTGCTGGACTGCATGTGCCGAAGTCTCAAGTAAGCTTCAGAATTAACAGGTCAGCACAACCAATGAGCAATTTTTCATTGTGCCGACTCTTATTGCATGTCTTTGTACATAGTAGGGCCAGTCTGTACCCAAGGTGAAGACCGGCAACACCCATTAGTTTTCAATCAGGTTTGCAGCAGGCTCGGGCGTCATATCTGGTAGTTGGCGAGAGCGCGTCAACAGGCACCAGTCTATGCAAATGGGAAGCCCGTGTAGATTGGTCGCCCACGAGACTGCTGAATGACGGTATGTAGGATGTGGCTTTAAAAATGTGCGGGAGCAGTACTGCATGAGCTGCTGGCTGCTCATGCTATGCCTGGCAGTTCAACTGTTGTGACTTGGGAGCTATGAGACTATGCCTAGCAAGCATCCCCCTCAGGCACTGCAACTTCTGCCCGAAACATGCCACGGGCAAATGATCCGTCATTGCATGAGCCTGGGCCTTAGCAGGCTCTTTCTGCGCAAGCTGCATGTTGATACCAGAGAGAAATGGCCTTTTTTGCTCCCTGCCCATTCAGTTCGATACCTGATTGCAGTTCCCAGTACTGCAAAAACATGCAAGAATCTCGAACGGCACAGGTTCTCAAATATTTGTTGTGTTGTGAAATGAGGTCTCCATCTGAACCTGGCGCAGGCCTGTGTGCAGCTGAAGGCCCTTTCAAAAGTGTCAAGCTGCCAGTTCCCTGGATTGCAAACCATACCACCTAGTATGGTGGCCCTAGGCCTTGCCGAAAGCATTGCCCATGCCAAAGCAAAGCATTCTGCAAAATCTTATCCTGCAGCAGCTCATTGCACTGATCGCCCCCCCCCCACTCCCCCCCCAGCAGCTACAGACAAAGTTCCTCCGCAAACGTCATGGTACAACTGCAAATCTGCAAGTGATTGGGTGCCGCCGGGCGGACTTGGCAAATTTCGTCACTCAAAGCACTATTCGTGGCGAGTGCTGCGGACCGCCTAGCCGGTGTCCTGCCTGTTCGCGCACCTGCAGGCCTATGAGGCCACTGTGCATCACGCTACCCGAGCGCTGAAAGTGGACCAGGAAAATGCCAAGGCAGGTTTCCAGTTGACGTTTGCCAGGATCTGCAATAAGTTGAGCAAGCCCGTCGATTTTTACCCGTGCTTGGTGGACATCTGCAAGGCCTACTTTCGCCGCGGTTTGGCACAAGAGGCACTCGGCAAAACCCAGGCCTGCGAGAGCGCATATGGGGAGGGAGAGACGGAGCCTCAGGAACAGAGTTGAGAGTCAGGCGGCGGCGGGTGACCTTCAGCGCGCTGCCAGGCTGGTGACGTTTGAGAGCTGAGAGAACGAACGAGGAGCGCTTTGAAAGCTGTGTTCCGGAGGATAGAGCCGCGGAATGTGGATGTCCGCAAGAAGCCCTGGCCTCAGCCAGCAGAGTTGGAACAGAATGATTTCATGTTATGTTGACATTGTGCAGGTATGAAGAGCCAGGAACTCAATCCTCGTGCGCAATCCCGATTTGCAAGCTTTCCTAGCGGCCTAAGTGTAGCGGAGGGCTCGTGGAACTTCTTGATCAGGCTGAAGAAGGCTCTTCAAGAACTGGAAAAGAAGCAGGAGGAGGCTCCAAGCCATTCCCTCTACTGGTGGGCTTCACTATGCTTCACTGCTGGGCATGACAACAGGAGGAGGGGCCTCCGAACCATGACATCAGCTCCTTGCATGGTACTCAGATTCAAGTCTTCCGAGGGGATCAGCAGAAGAGGAGATGAGATCAGCTGCAAGGCCGAGGGCTTGGCTGGAAATCGCCATCGGCGACGCACCGCCCAAGAGAATGGTCGCAGCCCCAGAAGACATGATTTGACTTCCTTTAACCCTTCCCAGGGGACTTTTGACAGATTGGCGTGAAGCCAGAGCTCTGAGGTTTTTGTGCTCTATGCTGACACTGCCGATGGCTCAGAATGTGTTTGCATGCCTCTTGTTTTGGTAGTCTTTCCGAAGCGGTACCTGACCAGTGCATCAGCGCGGTAGATTGGCGTTGCATGGCGCTCTTGGGGCGGCTAGAGCAAAGACCCCAACGCAACTTGCAAGTTGGTCTGCGCAACGCAATGTGTACGACATAGCATTGCATTACTCCAGGTGCCAAAGACGGCGGAGAATTTTCGCCGACTTTGCACAGGCGAGCATCCAGGCAATGGGAACCTTGCCAGGGATTCCAGGAAGTAGTTTCATTTCATCATGTCGAAGACACAGGGTCTCGGATTTCCATGGAATACAAGCAGACTGCCCTGACGCTGGTGGAAGCTAGGAGAGGTGGGCTGCTCAGCTTTGCAAGGTACCACAGCGCGTGGTAAACCCTTCCACTACAAGGGCAGCATACTGCGCCATGGTAGCAAGGACTGGAATGGATAGTGGCTTGCTGGTTGTGGGCAGGGAATGGAAGATTACCTGGAAGCTATCATACTGACTATGGGGATTATATAGACCCTGTTATAATCGGCAGTAATAGGTATCCCTTCGAAGAGAAGGCTAATGAGACTTGGGTCTGTCATTGAGTATGTGCAGCCGAGCTCCAGGAATTCAGGTTCCTGTAAGCCCTAGTCTCAACTCATAGTATGCCCCTTAACCTAAACCCTAAACCCTGTATAATCTCCTATATACCCTCATTTGAGGAGCTTAGACCCTAAACCCTAAGCCGTAAATCCCCTATATAACCTCATTTAAGGAGTTTAGACTCTAAGCCCCAGATCCACTAGATAACCCCATTTACGGACTTTAGACTATAGCTCTTGTGAGCCTGGCCTGCACAACTTTGGCTGTCATCTGCTTGGCATTCGGTACATTTGCAGGGGCCTTTTTGTGCTTGTTCATTATCGTGTACAGCCAGCAAGTCTCCAACATTGTGAAGTGCTGCCGTGGCAGATGTGCATCATTGTTGGCAAACTCCATCCTGCTTCAAAGCCCGATTGCCTTGAAATGCTAGATTACAGTTTCATAGGCGGGCCCAGATCGTGGCCCGATTTCTTCCACACCTCTCCCCATTTGATTCAGAATATCGAACACATTTTAGCCATCCTGGGCAAACTCCATATGAGCAGCTTAGGCATCGCATGATTCCAGATCTGATGATTCAGGTGCGTGGCTTAGCGCAGCTGGCTGAGGAGTCTTAAGGTTTACCGTTTGCGGTACATGATCTTTACTAGGGTCATGTCGAGTTGTGTTATGCTTGAGGCACCTGCTTCAAAAAAGAGTCGCCAACCCAAATCTCTGACTGGGCCAGGGTGGCGATTTCGAGAACACAAACGGGCGGCGGGCTTGGATGAACAGCTAACGGGGGATGTTTCAAGGTAGCGGAAGTCAGGGTTTTAGGTACAGGGCTTAGCGTTTTGGTGACTGTGGTGTTGGTGCATGTTGGTAGATGTTTGGGAAATACTGGTGGATGTTTAGCTCCATAATGTCATAGTAGCATCATGTCCCGGGGCTTACAAATACACATCTCTTATGAGACTCACACATTTAGGGCGGCTCGTGGATACCCCTTTACAGTGTCCCCCATGTGTGTAGGACGAAGCCAATTCTTACAGGCCCCCAAGAAGAAGATTCTGTGGGCATCATGTACGTAGGTGCTGAATTCATCCGTCCCTGACGGATTGCGGAGAGATTGCATACGTCTCGAAATTGTGTGTTCTCTGGGCCCCTTGAGGCTTGGATTCTCTTCCATTTTGGGTCAAAGAGGGAATCTCTGCTTCCGCTTCTCATTCATCGTTACCCGCCGGGACATTCGAAGCCCTCATTCCATCACTCCTTTCCCCCTCATCCCTTACCAGCAGAATGGCTGCAAGGACAGGCGGAGAATCCGTTTGGTCCCGCCGCTTTCCAGACGAAGGCTTCAGGGATCCGGTCTCGCGACGAGGCTCGCTCTGCAACTCAACAGTTTCCAGTCCTCGGGGCAGGGAATGACCTTTGGATAATAAGAATCAAATGCAAAAGAAATGTACAATTAAGTTCACACTGGGGTTATTAGGGGTCCGGGGCTTGGGTTTAGAGTCTAGGATCCTTCTTCTTGGGCATTGGAGATAATGAGGGCAGCATTGTAAAAGGGACAGGAACTTTGAGTTGACATCTCCCCGTATCATAGCATCACGAAATTTTACTATTCGTATTATTTGTATTACTCTCATTACTGTTAATATTCTTATTACGATTATTGGTCTTATTACTATTGTTAATAATATTATTCCTACTATAATGGTTCTACTCATCATACTTGCATCATGGAAGGTGCAGAGCATGAGCAGACAACCCAAAAGACAAAGGATATGATGAGAAACCGATGTTCCAAGCATGACCCTTGCAGAAACAAGAGTCGAGACTGTCTCCATACTGTGAAAAAGCAATCCACCCTGCCATCACTAACTAATCACAAGTTGCGGTGTTAAATGCAGTGGCAACCTCTCTGTTTGATCAGGTCTTCTTTGCATGGCGAATGACGGCCCGAACACGAACGGGTCCAACTTCTTCGTGTCCTTTGCTGGTGCAGAACATCTTCACAGGAGTGCGGACCATGAGAATGCTTCGGCAACAGCTCAATATGGGAGCTCGGAGAACATCATTCTTCTGCACGCGCCTAACTAGTATGTGGTTCAAGCCCGCAATAACATATCATTTACGCGGAGACACATAGGGTCTTTGCTAGATATCAGCTGCATAGGCGGACGCACAAGCCCTTTTCATGCAGCACGTTTATCCACGTTCGGCTCAGGCTGAAGTTAATTCCACTTGACAGCGTATCCGCTTCATAGCAAGTTTGGTGTTTGTACAGCTACACGCAAATTGACCGCATGTCCTTAATTTTCAAAGTACCACCACAGTTCCAGCGCAGACAGCGCTGGATTATTCCCTAGTCGATACCAGCAGCAGAATCTTTCAGGCAGCCAGAAGAAGCAGCAGCATCAGCTGAACACGTGCCACACCTGGCGCTGAAAAGCAAAGATGATGGGTTCATAGCCACGAGTTCAAAGCCGATGCCATGGCAGTCGCCATCTGAGATTCTTGCACCTTATCAAATTTGCTTTTGCTGCTCCGGCAGCGCCCCATCCAGGCATGTGAGTGCTGTGGTGGGTGCCTTGCGGGCGTCGTGCTGGTAGGCTGGAAATGGTTTCTCTAGTCAGAATATTGATATCAGCTTTGACAGGTGCAGGGATCAGGTATATCGGCCAACTGGTGCAGCCCTTGCCTCATGAGGACAGCCCACTTCAAACCTGACACGAGCAAGCCTGCAGCATTTGTTTGTGAAGAGGCGGCGGAAGCATCTGCAAGCGCAAAGCCGCCAGGGACCTTGCTATTGCACATTTCGATTTGAAAAAGGCTTCTGAGATGTCACCCCCGAGGCTCAGCAGCAGCGGGTCGGTGCAAGCAGCGAAGGCAGCAGTTGTGGTACTGATCCTGTGAAGGCTGTATCATGGCGCAGAAGCTACAGTACCGGAAACCTCCAGCCTGCCGAGTGCATGTACGTGAACATCAGCCGCATGTACTAGAATGCTTGCTAAGTTATTCGAACTGCTGCTTGGCTTGCAGACTGCGGACACTGCAGCCAAGCCAGAGGAGTCAGCGTGGTGCAACAAGCCGTGCCTGCTCAGACTCAGACTTTGATCAATTGAATCTTCTTGCCATGCCTGCGCGGGTGCAGGACGTTCATCCCCTCGAGCAACCTGCTCAAGGCCTGCTTACTTTGCCCAGGCTCGAGAGGCCCTCTGCTCTTTGCAGTGCCCCCAGGCGCGGGTCAGGCCCAGAAGGAGAAAGACCGGAGTCCTTCACTGAGAATATGAGTGTAAGAGACATGCGGCTTGAGAAAAGCTCAACAGAACAAGCTTCAGGGCCTTCCCACAAAGTAGAACAAGATCCGCTGAGGCGAGAGCACGTGCAGGTCCCTCCATGCCTTGTTCATGTTTTGATTGGTCAAAGGGTTGGCTCAGCCAGACTAAGTCAGGAAGATTTCATGTTGCAACCTTAGCCAGCAATGGATTCTGGCGCTTCGAGGTTGATATCCATATTTCTTGCGTGCTGCAGATGTGTTGATGCGATTCACGTCAGCCAGCTCTCTGAACTCGCAGAAGCAGTGGCCCAGTATCAACACATGGGAGCTCTGCAGTCTTCGAATATCTCTTACTTTCAGGACCTGTCTGCTCAGGTCCGTGGTGAACACGCAGCGGCCCATGGTTATCAAGCATCACAGAATTGCATGCCTCAGTCCATGCAGAAGCACCTTCGCTCCGCAACGACGCGCGACGTCGAAAAGAAACTCGGTAAGGGCAAGCCTGTGAGCTTCATTCGTATTGGTGATGGCGACGTCTTTTGCCTCAGTGGGTCAGCAGGTTCCAACCTAGAGGGCATCAGCTATGCCGCCCACAAGGCCCAATGCAACGACCTGGCAACGTCTCTACAACAGCTTGGTTCGCACGATGACTCCAACATGTACGTCTTAGTTGGCACTTTTTTCTTATGCCGTAATGGTGTCGGGTCAGACTTTGATAGTTTCCTCCAGACCCATGAGATGCACAGCAACTTCAAGGGCTTTATCACCTCTGTCTTTTACTTGGATCTCACCGGCCGAGAGAATCCTTCTGGAAGTGGGAACTATGGCCCTCCGCCAAATCCTGTCGTGCCCTCGACATTTCCTTCGCTTGTCGGCCGGAAAGTGGTGGTTGTTGGACCGCGACACTTGCAGAAGCTGTCACACACTCTGAATACTGCAAGCTTTCTCGAAGCCTCCAATGCAGCAGACCGTGTGGATAGTCTGGTCCAGAAAATGAGGCTGGAAAGCGCCAAGTGGCCGAAAGAGAATGTGGTTTTTCTCGTTTCTGGCGGGTTTGGCGGCAGACTTGCCATCCTGAAGGCCTTCAAGCACTTGGGCCATAAAGACAGCTTCATCGATACAGGGGCAAGCCTGGACGGCTTTGCAGGCGAAGAGAGTCGCAGCTTCAATCAGCGCGGTCGCCTCTGCAAGTTGCTGCCTCAATTCATGGCTCCAGGCCTCTGCACATGCCGTGGAAATGACTGCAGCGCCGCCTGAGCATCTCCAAAACAGATGCGTTCTGAGTGTGCATAGTGGACTGGGCTTTTACAAGTGGGGGTTGAGCATAGCTTACTTCCAGACAAACATGGTCAGACAGCTTTGCAGTGTCTGTGGCAAGGTCGAGAGCTCTACGATGCCGCTTGGCAGGGAGATTTCGACGGCGTTTTTGATGCCCTGGAGGTGCTGCCATGTTCATTTCTGACTTTGACGAGCCGCTTAGAATTTTTGCGCTGAGTGGTGATGACTGCCTCAGGCGGGTGCAGACCCTTATGCAAAGTATGGGGTCCGCAAGATCACGGTCCGCAGCCAAGACGTAACATGTCTCGGGGAAGCTTGGCCGTCCGTGTCCAGCGTTTGAATTTGCCACTTGCCTTGCAAGCTGCTCAGGCGTTGCACGTGGCTGCAAGAACGGGAAACCGTCAAATCCTGGACATGCCGGAAGCTTTGACATGAGCATGATGCGGTCTTTGTCGATGACTCTCAGCTATGAGCATGAGCTATGCATGGCACATGACGGCTAAGGCTGTTGACATGGGAGAAAGCCCCAAAGCCACAGCTTGACGTTCAGAACAAGGATGGGACAGCCTCTGTGTCTGAATTCTTGATGCCATGATACATAGGAACCACATCCATATGAGCCATAGTCTAAACTCTTAGTTTTTCCCTGAATATCCCCTATACAAGTCTCCTATATAACCCCCTTAAGAGTATAGAATGTAACCATGCGCGCGCCAGGATGGCGAAACACCCCTGTTTGGGGCCGTCATCGAGGGACATGTTGGCACAACCCAGGCAGCGGGGTCAGTCTGAATGTCAGACCATATGCATGGATTGCAGATCTGCAAGTTTTAAGTTTTACGATGGTTTTTTCCGGTTCAAGGCGCTGGTGGATGCGAAGGCGGACGTGAATGTCAAGGACAACGAAGGCCCCTCTTTTTGCATGGTTGCTCGTCTTGCTCTCATGGTGCAGCCCCAGCCGGCTGCAGCCATTCTGCATTGGGACTCTCTGCAGGCCGAACTGTATTGTGCATTGCGCAGCAGCGGGAGCAGCAGGAGAACATGCGCCAGCACAGGAGCCTAAAGCTCACTCAGCCATGGATATTTGTGCGCAGGACTTCGTTGACTTTCTCATCAGCAGGGGTGCGATCGATTCGGAATAAAAAGTTGCCGGATCCATGGGCAAGCGGTCATTGACCATGGGGAGCAGTGGGCAGCAGTGCTTGCTGTCACCTTCCAGGAAGCACGTGGTCTTCGGAGAAGTCTTCAGTGGCCTGGATCTGTCAGGCACTCGGAGCATCCTCCTTGAGGTGAGGTTGATGCTATTCTAAGACCTGCAAGTCATTCTTCATGCTTCGAGATTGGATGAGCTGGAGAAGCTTGAGACCAACGAGGAATGCAGGCCATACCAAGGTTATGTGTACGATTGGACCTAGAGATTTGATGGAATTTGCATTGAGGCCTTTGGTAGACTGCGTCATTGTGGACTGCGGAGCGGACCAGCAGCGCATCACAGAAGGCTGCTCTGATGTCTTTTGGGAAGTGCAATCACTGCATCTGCCGGCAGGCGCCTAGCCGAGGAGTACCCAAAGATGGTATTGCAAAGAAAAGTTGGCGGTGGTTGCTGCAACATGGTCCAAGCCACCTCCTTGACTAGCATTTTGGTGGCGGGTCTTTGACAAGGTTTGTCGGTGGCAAGGCATTTTACCGGCCCAAGCACATGGCTAGATGTCATTGGAAAAAGTTTCTGAATCAGCAGAGCTTCACACTCGCACATTGCGGCCATTGTTAATCCGTAGTTCCTTTGCGGAATCCAGCTGACAGTTGTGAGCAATCACAACCTTGGCAGTGCCGTCACAGTCAGCCGCAGAATCATGACTACCCACCAACGCAGGAAACGCTAGCAAAGACTGCCAGCAACTGCACCGCTATCCGCTATCATCTCCTGCACCCCACGGACGGAAGCACCACTTCCATGCAGCAACAAGACCAAGCAAACAACATGAAGACCGCAGCAACAGCCACGGCAACACTGCTGCTTATTGTACAGCGCACAGGATGCGTGTTGCCCGGCCATGTCCGCAGAGGCAGCTTTGCTTTCGCCCAATGCCAGCATGTTCATTCCAGACATGTTGAGTCTTGTGAACCACAGTCTAGCCCTTCTTGGACCTCGATGCCTTTTTTGGGCTGGGAACATTTGGCTAAAGCTGCCCGAGTGCTTTGGCAGCTGCTGCTCCTCTGGCGCCTGCATGCGCATAAGATGGAGGTTGAGCCCCAACAGAGGTTTGAGCCGCCTAGGCGCCAAAGCGTGATGACTTCCTGAGTCAGCCCAGCAGACATGTCCAACATGCTCAGCATAGGAGCTTCCAAAAGGTCACGCGTCTTAGATTTCTAGATTGCAACAATGCCCGATTCCGAGCCGCGCGAATGGGTCAGTGCCTTGGACAAGGAGTCGGCGATCTCAACCATGGAAAGTCTGAAGTGTAGAGGCTACAGCCAAGAGATGCGCTGTTCATAGCAAGTGCCTTGGCCGAGGTTGCGCCAGCGCGTATCGAAGTCCTTTACGAAAGGAGCGCCGCTGGCTTTTCCAGAGTTTAGCATTTCATAAGTGCTGGGTCTGAGCAGGACTGCTGGGAATCAGTTCGCCGGCATCAATCGGCCCACCAGTGGACCAAGGTATGAGGCACGCAACCTTCACAGCTTGGGAGGTATGCACATTTTTGAGTCAGTTATTGCACAGAAACAGGACAAACCGGATGTCAATTGCAGAGAGCATCCCAGAAGCGCTATGACTTTGAGAGCACCTCCATGCCGCCTCCATAACTCTTGGTAATCCCTCTATCGCTCCAAGAAAGCCATGCTCTACTTGCTAGTGTCTACAAAAAGGTGGATGCACATGGATTCTTTGAAGGGCTTGCGGGGGGTATTGGGATACAGCAGGCCTTGGGTAGTCTAGAAGATGCAACCTAGTTCTTGGCTGTATAAGCAGTCTAAGACTTACTTCCAGAATTCCGGGTGAGGCAGGCATGTTTCAACCGTGAGCTGAGTCCCCAAATTTTAGGGCTCCAGGCCCCGAAGCCGCAAACCCAAACTGCAAACAGGTAGATCCGTGGCCCAAAGCCCCAAAACCTTGAGCCATAAGCCTTGAACCGCAAGAGGCGGAGTTGGAGAGGGGTTCATCTCCTCTGCAGCCGGCTCCTCAAGGTATTGGGATGAAGGGTATATCTGAGTAGTAGTTTATTCTGGGGTATTATGGTACCCAATACAGAGTAAGATTGTACCCTCCTTTTGGGATATAGTATTTTATACAAGGAATATAATCTACTAGGTTCAACCACCATTAAAAAACCGCTACTCATCTGGAAAGAGGAGTTCCTGAAAAAGAGTTTAATGAACTGGGGTTTCCCAAACTTCGGGATACTCTTTTTTCGGGGAGTACCAAAGGTCCATCTAATTTGGTTTCCACTATGGAGGTTCCCCCCTTTTCGGTAGCAGTAATCTAGGCAGACTCCAATCTGAGTTAGGGTGCTCCTGAGGGAGTCTGACAGGTGGACATAGGGTTCCTTATGGCTATGTATGCGGAGATATTGACGAAGATAGTTCCATTGCCTTGTAAGTCACTTGGGAACCAGAGAATGCAGATTGAGCGAAGTACGTTGAGTCGTCATGTTCTCAGATTGGGAACGAGATCATATTATCTCAAGCCCGTAAGAAACATGCTAGTGAGCACCGCAGGCTCAATAAAAAGTCAATCAGCCAGACAACAAATGAAAGTAGTGGCTCATGTAGGCTGTCGCTCATCGGGTTTATCGGTTTATCTATAAAGGAGACGAGGGCTTTGTAACAACTGTGTGCCAATGTATGGCTGATTGATTTGAATTTATAGTGTGGAGCACGCAAAAGGGGATGTTAAAGGAACATACAAGGTTTGCACTCTTGACCCGGGGGCTGTTTTCTGGGAGAGTCCATAAGAAGGACTATGACACATTGGCGTCTACATGGGGCCCTTGTTTATGGAAACTCCCATAGTCAAACACCAAACTTGTACTGCACCCAGAGATGTGCCTGTACCCATACGACTGGGATTTGTTGCTGCAACACGCTCTGCATGAACCTGCTGCGTTTGAGACAGTCTTGTCTGTAGTAGCCAGGTCTGCGGTTTGAGCAGAGCATGGCACAGGAATGGAGCGGATGCTGGTCCTCGCTGAGGACTTGCTTGAGGTGAATGAGCACCGAAACAATCGGTCAGACGTCGGCCGAGCACGTATCTTCAGAGCTCACTGCCTTAGTAAACTTCGGGAACAGGCCGAGACCTCTCCCGTGAGTTCTCGGGACTTCTCAGAGGCACTCCATCGAGCAGAACGTGGGTTAATTGCAATGGACGCCTCTGCAAGCGGGCTGACACTCGCACAGCAGATCAAGGGGGCCCTGGAGAACTTCTGTACTGAGCTTCGCAGGCTCGAGGCAGAGGCTTTGGCTCTGGATCGGCGCAGGATGGAGGAGTTACCTTTGCAGCAGATCCGCGGAGCCGCGGCCTCCCCGCACAGGAAGCTGGTTACCGTTCGCATCCAGACCTTCAGCGGGGCAGAGTTCCAGGTAAGCTGTGACTCGGATGCATACTAGGAAACAGGGTGCGTCGTTCATGGTGCCTTCTTTTTTAGACCATGATCCCTCAGGCGGCCTGGATGAGAACCTCATCTGCCTAAAGGAATATATCCACTCAAGTGGTGGTCCATGCGCGAGAGATCAAGAACTCGTGTGGTCCCGCAGCGAGCTCGCCTGGATTCAGGAGTTGGAAACGCGAATCAGCGACTCTTTCTCTTTGTTCTACTTGGGTATCACAGAAGCCTGGCTTGCTTTAAGTAATTGTTGGAACTTATCAGCGGGCGATCCTTTTCTGGGGGGTTTGAAAGAGGGGCCTTAATGTGAATAACGCCCGTATCAACAAGACCGCAAAGCCCATGAAAGATAGCCACACAAGTGACTGGAAACTTCATAATCTTTGTCAATTCTGCCAGTCCTGGTAACCGTGATTGAGGGAAACTCCCCTACATTGTTACGACCTACTGGCATGAATCCGTGACAACGTCTGTGCTACTGACTCCAAGGATGGGGATGCTGCTATCCTGTACTATGTGAGGTTCTGTCACCAGTGCAGAGGCAGAGTGGAAGCAAAGTAAGGTCAGGGCGAAACAAGTCAGGGTTGCTCAAGGTAGGGGTACTCCTAGGGATCCTAGGATACCTGGCGGCTACAAAAGGCTTATACTGGCCGACCTGAAGGCGAATGTAGAATGCAGAGATCATTACGAGGACATGATTAAAATGAGATGAATTCTCGTGATTGGTGCTGTAGTGTACGGAAGATGAAATAATTTAGTGCCTCCTGCCTTACACAGGTGCTTGCAGATGCTTGGAATGTCATGGTCGCGGACGGCGCGGCGCTTGTAGCGCCTGTGGACAAGTACGGCCCGACTGCATGCAGTGTGCTGGACTGTGGCTTGTCTTGGGATAGTGAAAAGAAAATGGCAACTGGAATATTACCCCCAGGTTTAGGGTTTTAGGATTCGGGGTTTAGGGTTTAGGGTTTGGGGTTTCGGAATTTTACCCCCCAATAATGGAGAATCAAATGGAAGAGAACATGTTAAATGAAATGGACAATGGGATTATGTAGGGGCTTATAGGGTTTATGAGCTGTAGTCTAAACTCCTTTAAAGGGGGTTATATAGGGAGTTAGATAAGGGAGTACTATAGGGGTTATTCAGGGGGATGCTAGGACTTTAGACTATAGCTCAGTGTATTCTGCCTTGATCCCAGGTAGTCCAGTTGAGTAGACACCCTTCCGACCCTTCCTCTTTTGATGCCTGCCAGAGCGGCATGTGGAATTTCGGCAGACTTCAGGAGCCACGAGCTGAAAAACACATGTTTGCCTTGGGGTTTGTAAGCGAATGTGTGAGGAGTTGTGAATCTCGAGCAGGATAATGTCAGTTGCCCCATGTTTCGTGGAAAGCATGAACTTGGTATACGAGTGCTAATGAAGCACACTCCACGTCTGCTGTGTCTGTGTGCATGTGTCGAAACCTGCCTTGAGCCTTATTGGCTGGGGTCTCTTTCTCTCCTGATTCTCGTGGATGAATGCAGCCAGGCGTGTCATCAAACCTGTCTGTTACGTACAAGGGTTTGGCAAGCAAGAGTTCTCAGCCGAGGTGCCGCTGTCCAAACTGTCACGGGCAACCGAGCCTGTGCAACATTATTTGCAAAGTGTGTGGAGAATCGAGTGTTGCATGTGATTCTTAATCTGTTTGCTAAGCAGGCATTTCCTCTCAAAGAGAGGCGAGCCTGTCATTTTGTGCGTAGTATGTGGCAAAGCGTGAGGTGACGCCCTAGCAGTTGCCACTTTGTGCCCCTGGCTGCCAAGGTGAGATATGTTAGGGTTTACATGGAGTTACTGAAGGGATACATTATATTACCTAACTGCAAGGTCCCCGAAAGTAGCCCAAAGTGTTCGAACCGGAGGCAGTTTAAGGCTGCAGCCTTTCCTAGCTTCGTGGGTTCCAAGAGACATCCACTTTGAGCAGAGGACGCGGTGGTAAAACTGGCCAAGCGCCTCGGGCATGCAGACACCCATACTTTGATCATGTCATCTCCAACCGCAGAAGTCCTCGGAAAACAAAAATCCTAGCGGACAGGACTGCTAAAGCAGGTCCATAACTTCTAATAATCTGGGTTGCTGTTAAGGAACTTAAATTCAGTTACTATATTAGGGATGCCCTATTATTTACTATATATACCCATTAGGTAACTTAATTTAAGTTCCTTAACAGCAACCCAGTAATTCTCTGACAGCCCCACACTGCATGAATCTGTACTTTGGCTGAGGCTGTACTCGCTCGCCACTCCAAACGGCTGGAAGGTCGGCATTCTGTTGGAGGAGAAGTGCGCATGTTGGGAGTTGCAACAAAGATCACAACATGGGTTCGTAGTGGCTCAGCCACTACCATACCACAGCTGAACCTGATGTTTCTGAAGCTCCTGATAGCAGAATTCTTAAGCTGCTTTGAGATGGCCTGCAGAAGGTCAATCTAAAGCCGGCCATGCGTACCCTTAAGGTAGACCTGACAGCCGTGGCTGCAAAGGAGCTAGGTGCCGACTACGATGCTCACGTCATTAACATTGGCCAGGCTCTGAGTTGTCAGACTGCACACGCAGAACAATCCAATGCTCATGTTGCACCAAGGCGCGGGGCAACAGTTCAGCTCTGGCTTCGTTGGCCCCCGGCCCAGAGTGAGCCCACATGCACTGTCAGAATCTGCACAAGCAAGGTGCCAATCCCAACTCGAAAATTCCAGCCGCGGGCCGAAGGTGATCTTGCTCTGCTGCCTGCTGATGTAGCCTTCACGCGCAGTGGCAGCCGAGGCTTTGATTGACCATGATGGCCCCGGCGGCAAATCAATTGCCATCATGGACAGTTTGTGTTTTGCACTTCGGAATCAAGTTCCACGCCGAGAGCTTCGTGATAGTCTCACTTCCTTGTGTGCGTTTAACTTACGCTTTGCACTTCAGCCCTTCTGGGGCAGGAAGCTGCTGCCATCCTGGTTTATTTGGTGGAGAAGCACAGCTGCGACTTCTACCCAGCTGATGCAAGGCACCGAGCATATCTTCACCGTCCGTGAAAAGCTGTTGTCCCATGACCTATATGGAACTACTGGGGCCCTATAGCTTTGATGACCAACTTGAGAACTTGGTAAAGGGACATCATCTCCACATTGTTGCAGGCTACGGTGTGAATGCCTGCAGTGGCTTTTCTGGCAAACTGGCGGCCAGGGGTCGGCTACCCATGCAGTGCGTCTGTAACCGATACTTTCCTCCATTCTTTAGCCACCGCTGAGTGTTGAGTTTGCTTATTGTTATGGAGTATCATGAGACCACTCCTTGCCACGCGAAGCTGCTTGTAAGCGCAAGCTGCAGGCCCATGACTGGGAACTTTGGACACTTCAAAGTCTATGCGCCTCCTGGTGAGGACCGTGCCCATGATTTGGAAGATGCGGACGGACAAGTGCCAATTCAAATCGTAATGCCAGCGCCTGCTACAGATCGATGCTCGCAACTATGGCGTGGCAAGATACGGCATGGAGGCATGATGTGATTTTATGCTCCCAATGCGTGCACGTGCCCAGACGCATCTGCTTTGTACTGAGCCTTGCAGGTCCAGAGACTTTGCTCAGTATTGGCTTTTGCCTCAGATGTTGAACCTTTCGTTCTAGGTGGCGCCAGCTTGGCAACCTTCAGTAATTGATGTGCTTGCGACGTGGCATGTTTTAGTGCTACTTTCTCAGCTCGGTCAGCCTGCATGAGTCGTCAGTTTGCATACTCGGCATGGGATGCAGCGGATAGCCGCAGGGCCTTGGCATAGCGCTATCATGGGGAGGCTCCGTGGCAAAAACAACATCAATGGGAAGGGGCACTTGGGGCGGTGGTGGGGGTGCTCTTAGAAGCCTTCCCCACAGAAGAGCCCGAGCCAGTGAAAGGTTTGGTTTATCAAGATTTCCAGAGGACAGTATGGTAAGATATGGTAAGTGTGGCATTGCAAGGCCTCACTCGTGACTTTACTCCCATTGCTCAGGATCGGCATCTAGCCGGGTACGGTGATTTCACGGGCGATGCAGGACTGCGTCCGGAAGGCCGGGCTTCGAGTAAACCAAACATACCGAGAACTGCAAGTCCATGTGGTTCCGTATCCCCTTCTTTGAGAGATGGTTTTAGTAGTCGTGGAGGTCCGAGACAGTATCTGGCCAGCAGCTCAGCTGGCTGATGCTCGGATGTGTCTAGGAATCATGATGGCTCGCCGCTCCTGCTTTCGCGGCCTCAGGTCGGTGACAGATACAGCATCGCAGATATGGCAGTCATCCCAAGCACCAGCGGCTGCGCAACGAAATGCTGCAATAAGCGAATAGTGAGGCATGTTTCCCCTGGGCGTACATGCTGTTCGGCCACCACCTTACTTGCTCTACCTCTACCTTGTTCTGTTCGAGTTGCACTGACACCGAGTGGATCTCGCGGCTGCGCACAGGCAAGGGCTACAACCGGCCTAAGCAACCGGATGCGAAGGATTTGCTGACGTTGCTCTGTGGTGACCATGCTTGTCAGCATCCATGAAGTGATGTTTTCCAGAAATTGCTTTCAGGATTTCTTGAGTATACATCAGTATACCCACCTCAAATCCTGGGTGGTGGTGGGCTGAGCGTGTGTGTGCCTACAACGCCTGGCCCTACCTGAGCAACCTTTTTTCCCGGCTAGTTACAGTCTTCGACTTATGTTTGGGTGACACCAAAAACTTGAGATCAATGCCAAATACATACGCCGGATAGCGGCCGCGGAAGAATGCGGAAGGTTTGTAGAAGGAGCGGGCTTGGAGGAAGGGTCGCGGAAGTGCTGCAACAGTATTCCATGAGCAATTAAAAGGTACTTCGTGGAAGCGAAACGGTTCTCGGAAGCAACACAATATGCAGAATGCCAACAATCCAAGGGCACTTTGGGCCGCGGAAGGGTTTCGTGGAAGGGCTTTTTGCCTAATCTCCATTCAGGCAGGCTCTGAACGCTACCCAACAGGCGAAATTTCCTTTCCTTCCTCATAAGCTTAGTGGTGGTTGGTAGGAAATCTGGGAATATAACCCCTGTATTATCTCTATATTACAGTCCTATAATGGCTACATAATCCCCATATATAACATATTCCTTCCCCTAGTCCCGACTAACCACAAATAAGATAAGGCTCGGATAGCGGAACGACCAGCAGTGCAGCGTGGTATCCGAGTCTGCGTAGCAAGCCAAGTTCCAGCTTTCCAGGGCATCAATGTTTTTGGTTTATAGTCCCCCTTAAGTAGATAGAATATGGGCTAAATGGGGATCTTATTAGAAGATACCCAAAGCCAGATTATCTACTTAAGGGGGCTACACGGATTTAGGGTTCATAGGGTGTCTTTGAAGCGTGCACATATCATATGGGGGGTTTCCCAAAATTAGGGGTACATTCTTGGGGGCCCTCATGCGTTTGGAGGGTCCATATTCGGGTACCCCTGTTTAAGAAGATTTACCTATGCTATGGTGGTACAAATGTGTACATGCATCTACATAAAGATGTGCTGTTCGATGCCTGTGGCATTTGATGCCAAACATGCACATGCACTGCCCAAAGTTGAGATGTATCAATTGTGTGAGCCATGCACTTCTACTAGCGCAAAGCATGCACCATGCCCAGAACAGATTTGATAGCATTAATACAACACTTCGCAAGCGGGAAGCAAATCAGAGCTGCGTTGGCGAGAAAGCAGGGGTCCTTTGAGGCCGGCTCTCCAAAGCCGTGGCTGAACAAGGACTTGCTGATTGCAAAAGCTGAATAACTTGTTCAGATTTTTTTTGGCCGTTTGCGGTCCTGCACCTAAGGATCAGGCACAAAGTTCTTGATCTGCTGTCAGGACAAGAGCAAATCCAAGCTCTAATCCGTTCCCCGAGTGCAATGCTCATGGTGTGGAGAAAAATGACCACATGCTGCCCGAACTGCAAGTTTACTACCATCTCCTTTGACGAAGCGGCCGGTTTTCAAGCGCAAGAGATTGGCAGGTAGATGCCGCGCCAAATGCGCAGAATGAGAACAAGGCAGAAGAGGCCTGGATCCGCTTGGCTTTGCGCAGCAAGGCAGTGACTGCAGCTAGCTGATGTTTTTTGGCAGCTACTATATCTGACACAGACCCAAGCCACATGCTGCTTCATCAGTCATTCCAATGTGGGGAATGCTGCTCGCAGGCAGCAGGCGACCACAAGGCCCGAAACCTGAAACAACATTGCCGCATATTGCCGCCCAACATGCTGTTGAGAAAGTTCAGATGATGCTGTATCAGTGCTCCGAGCACGCTGTGTTTGGAATAGTCAAACATGTGCCCCGTTAGCCTTGGTGAGGACAGCGATGATGAAGCTGGCATCGACTTTGCTGCCTTGACGGAGGCCGAAGCACAGCCCACCTCAGAAAAAGCGAAGCCAATCTCTGTTCTGCTTTGTCACTGAGGCTCAGCACCGAGCTGCCACGCTTGGTGAAGGCGAGGCTCAGGCCGATGCCGGTGCCTGAGCTTCGTACCGAAATCTTCCTGACAGTGCTTATGCACGGAGCCAGTGTCAGGACCGGAAGAAGAGACGTGGTGGGGCTAGAGAGCCCGCATCTTTGGACCCACTTCCTCTGCGTGTACTTCGTAAAGGCTCTCAGGATTTCTTGCCGAAGTCTTGCACGACTCGAGGTCCGCAAAACGCCGCAAGCGGGTGAAGCGACGCTGCCCCAGACCCGTAGACCCAATGGGATCCGAATTGGATGATGCGCATTTTTCCGAGCGACTCTTGAATTGGACTCCTCAAGCTCAGGCGAGAACGACCTCATTTGCGTTAAGCAAGCAGGAATCGCGTGCGCCCTAACTTCTGAGGACTGTTTCGTATGACAGCCTGTTGCCTGTGAGTGCATGTTCTGGTCCACAAGGCGCTGCCGTCTCTTTCAGATGTCCTCAAAGGGGCAAAGCCTGCTGCATGCCCAGCACAGCTTCCAACCATTGCGTGATGCGTGATGGTGCCTGCACCGTGATTTGGGTATCTTGCAGGCCATCGTCATCCCCTCGCTCAAGGAGGCGCATTGACCATCATTGGAATTATGCTTTTGCACGCTACTTCGCGCTGGTTTGAGGCTCTCAAGGCAGCTGGAGCGGATGAGTCAGAGGCCAAAGACGCACCTTCCGTCCCTGAGGCAAGGGAAGCCGAAGCCCCCGCAGAGTCCTTGTGGTCCTGCCTGCGTTCAAGTGATAAACAGCTTGGACAGGTCCAGGGCGCTGCTGTTCAAGCAGAGGGTCCGCCAGAAGCTGCTGTCGAACCTGCAGCGACCACGGCCCCGGCAGCTGCTGAAGGCGGCTGGCAGAAGCACATCGCAATACGCCATCTTTCCTTGGTGCACGGTGTAGAACTTCAGAACTCAAGCCGGAGGTAAAGCAGAGCAACCTTCGGGACACAGAAGCACCATTTCATACGAGGCTTTGAACTCAGGCGAAGCAAAACAACTTTAAAAGAAATCACGCACATGGGTCAGGACTGCGTGTGCACATTAGAAGCTACCTTCTTCTGCTCCTCTGCAGTATCTGAAGACTGAAGCTTCCGCTGATGCCCGCAACCAATGTGCAGTCGAGACGAAGCTTCAACGGACTCAGGACGTCGATGATCCTGTTCCAGGCGAGAATCCAGCTGAAAGCTCCGAGGTCGCTGTCTCTGAGGCTCAGCTTTCCAAAGGAACCTCATTAGGAATTGTTTCTCGAGCCCGGAACAGTCACCTGCTGATCATCGGCAGTCTTACAAGGAGTTTTGAGCTGGCCTGCGCGGCTCTTCGCTCGCCCTTGCAACACATTCCAGTCAGCTTTTTGGCCGACCAAGGCGCCGGAGCCGGATCAGACCAGGCTCAAAGTCGCGATCGCGCGGATCGCCAAGGATTCGGAGAGGCGAGTTCCGCCCTCAGTCGCGGAAGAGCAGTGGGCGATGAGGCATCATAAGCAGCAAGTGCCCAGCCGAAGGGCTTGCTACCAAGGCTCGCATGGCAAAGGCACGTGTTCCTGCCGGGGTTTGATTTGCAAGTGCTGCAATGAGATGATGTGCAGGGTATGAACACGTGCTCGAGTATCAGAGCTGTGTCTGGCATGCGTATGAAGGGTGTCCCTTTCAGTTCGTGCGGATTCTCATTAACGTCAGTACAGTCTATACGTCGTGCTTTTGCCCAGCCGTAACTGGCAGGCAACGAATGCCCGGTCGGTGTTCATCACCAACTTGCCTTTCAAGGCGACAGCCGTGCCACCAGAAAGAGACCCAATCAAATCGTACTGTGTGCGACATGTGGGTTCTTTATGCGGGTAAAGGGCTTCTATGATTCTATGAGGCATAGTCTAAACTTCTAGTACCCCCTTAGTGCCCTATGTAATCCCCCATGAACATAACCCCCTTTAAGGAGTTTAGACTATAGCTCCTATGATTTTTTTCAGGCTGGTACAGCGCTGGCAGGCACAGGAGGAGGAGATCCGCAGCTGGCTCGGAAAAGCGGGTGAGATCAAGGGGCTCCGGCTGAACCGGGACAAGGCACCTGGCCGTGAAGCCATGTGAACCATAGTCTAAACTCCGTAAAGGGGGGGGGGGGGTCATATAGGGGATCATATAGGGGACTACAGTGGGGATACTAAGGGCGAGACTAGGAGTTTGGACTATGGCTCATGTTTGCCTTGTGTTGATGAGGATGCGCGTGAGAGCATGGAGGCCCCAAAATTTTTGTCTTTGCACAGACCCTGGCTTGGAGCATGGTAAGAAAATGCTCGGGATCGTTGATGGCTGCCTACCAGTGAATCTGAACCGCAAGCCGCTCACATCTGTTTTCTTGCCTCTGCCAGCAGCGGAGGTAACCACAAAAGCGCTCGGCTTTGGACATGTGCAGCTGGGGACCCAGAACTAGCATAAACCGCCGCGCTTCCGTGTTAGTTCATGAGTTGCGACCCCAGTGGTGGCAAACGCTCGCCGCTGCTGGCTTGATTGAATCTTGACCCGCGGCCGTCGAGCTGGAGTTGCATTCGGCAGTGTTGTAAGATTTCTTGTCTGGGTGTTGTCCCATGTCCCTACGCGATGTTGAGGTTTGCATCCACGCAGGATGCAGATGCTGCAATTTCGCAGTTGCGATCCCAGCCTTTGGCATTCCCCCAGTGTGCCTGAAAGTGTGGTTGAATTGAAGCCTTTATCCAGGTGCGACAAGGTGGAGCTGCACGGACGGGTCATGCGGTGTGCGCCAGTGGCACCCAACACAAAGTCCCCAGCTTAGTGAAAACACACCGAAAGATAGCCAGTGAAAGCTTATCTGCAGCTCCGTGCCAGACCTCCAATCCTGTGGGCTGCAGGTTCCAGTTTGAGCTTCCCGAGCAGATCAAGGCCTTTAGCGACTCTGGTGGCTGCATGTGTTGGTTTTGGTCCACAAATACTGTGGAAGCCGGAAACGATTGTTGATCTGCAGACACGAGCCAGCATGGGTTGATACCGTATTATTTGGTGTGGCAATTTTCGCGTATCATGGGCCTGGAGGTTTTGTGAATGGAAATGAGGGATTGGCGAGCTGACTAAGAGTTGGACCAGGGACCAGTTGGAGAATCGAGTAGTAGAAGTAGTGTGAGATGCTAGGGTGATGCGCGAACTCTTTGCAGGAAGACCTCCTGGGCCTCATGCGCGAGGTTCAAGTCTAAGAAAGCTGCATGTTTCTTCGCTTACCTTCTGCACGCTATGTTGTCATTGGTTTTGTTTCTTTGCGCTCATTTTTCTACGTCCGGCTGTGACTAAAGCTGCTGCCTACATGTTCCGGCACTTGACACCTGAGGCGTATGAAGGCAAGAACATCAGCACTATCAAGGACCTTCAAGCCCACACAATTTCAGCATGCAAGCCAACACTTGGCAGTTGATGACTTGTGGAGGATGCGTGGCAAAAGCGGCATCCAGGGCAGAAGCTCGATACCAAAAAGTTGCTCACTCAGTAGGATATCCAGCCTTTGCTGACGGACCCGGGTACAGGTTGAAGCAAGACTAGCTCCACGTGTGTGAGTGTGGGTAGAGATCTATTGAGATGGAAAATGGATGGTAGATAGCGACATGGGTGGTGTACAAAAAGGATCGGCGCTTGCTTCAATCTACGCAGCTCTGCGACCAAGGTGGGGCTTCAAGAACTTCTCATCCTCCATGAAGACTGTGGAAGGCAAGCACTGAATCCCTACTAGTCTCTGTTATATTGGGGTTATATCGAGATAATGGAGAAGAAAATGGAAACTACTATATTATAATAGGGTACATATTGACGAATCCCTACGAATCCCTACTCGAGTGAATGAGTGGCAGGTGTGAAATTGGAGCACCACTTGGAAAAAACCTTGACCTACCTGGCCTTTTTCGATGGGTCACCTGCCCACCAAGCATTCCTTGAGGACCAGAGCTGTTGTACAATGTAGGAAGTTCAAGATTCCAGGTCTCACTCAGGGGCCATGCCAGTATTACTATTTACTATTCTTCTTCTGCTTATTGCTGATTACTGGTATTAGTACTACTCTTATCACTATGACTAGTATTACTATGACTATTCTCAGTATGAGTATCATTACCATGATTACTGTTACTATGATTATTAGTATCATTTTGATTTTTACTGTGATCATAAGTACTATTATTACTGTTCGTATCTTTATTCCAATTATTGTTACTATTGTTGACTACTAGTATTATTATTACTACTACTACTACTGCTGCTGCTGCTGCTGCTACTACGACTACTACTACTACGACTACTACTACTATCACTATGACTAGTAGTACTTGTTACTTTCATTGGGCCTGGGCTTCCTGTCATCCTTTGTCCTGACCATCAGCCGACCAGGAGCGAGCCAAGAGGGAAGCCGAAGGAAAGG